TGGGGCCAGGAGCAGGGTCCCATCCATCACCCGACTCTGTGTCCCCACAGCCTGGAACCCGTGGTCAGGATCTCCCCCTGCCCCAGGCCAGGCCTGGTCAGCGCCACACAAGGTGCGTTGTGACCCTTGGGGGCCTCGTTTGGAAGGACACTTATTTCTTTAGCAATTCAGTAGTAGTTTATACCCCGTTCCCCAAATCAGGGCTTGTGGAAGTGTTATTTCGGCTTCACACTAGACTCTTTATTGCTTGCATTAGCAAACCAGACAACATGCAGCAGAACAGAGTGAAAGGTGGGACTTCCTCCTCCTCATGTGCCGCGGCAGGATGGGGAGTGCTCCTGGGAGGGCCCTGGGCTCACGCAGTCCTAACAAAGCAGAAGCGAGAGGGAACAACCTGAGTGCCTGTGGGACTGCACTTAACCCCTTCTCGTTTGGTTCCCGCAGGAAACAAGGCACAAGTTGCTGCTTTCTCTCCCAGCCGGCTCCCTCCGATACCTTGCAAAGCCATTTCGACAGCAAGATGTGTATCAGGTGGTCTCTAACAGTGAGTACCTACAAGTTGGGAGGGAAAGGCAGCCGCTGGTTAGAGGAGAGAGGTGCAAACAACTGCTTCCCTGCAGAGAGGCTGCAGTAGGAGCTCAACAGTTGCTTCTTTCCTCTGGCTTGGCTCACGTTGTCGAACCAAGCTGCATGGAACCGTCTGTAGGACAGAGCTGCCTCTTATTTCCAGCCTACATTTAGGCAGGGCCAGTTCATCCCTGTTTGTTCCTGTGAGCACCCGGTGGTCATGTAAGGAAGCCCTAAACGCAGTGACTGAGCGCTGCAGCGAGCACCGCTGGGGACAAGGGCTGCAGGAGGGTCTGCAGGGAGGCTTGTAACAAGAGGGGTAGGAAGAACAGCCACTCACGTTGCTCTGCAGAGATCAGTCGACATCAGCCACGCCAGAAACTCCTGGTTCAAAACATCCTTCAAACCTTCTGAGCCTTCCAGAGAAGCAGAACTGCAAGAAATGTGCCAGGCCAGAAGGCCAGGGGAGAGGCAGCAATTCAGACACACCACGTAAGAGCCTCTTACAGCTCACAGGGGCCTTTTCCTTGTCTTCTAATGCCTTTGACTCAGGTAAACCCTCAAAAACCTCCTTTTGCTGTGGTGAGCTCCTTGCACACAACACTGCCTTGCTCTTGGCAGGTTTGGGCTGCCAAGGGGGGTGAGAAGGAGCAGTCCAGTGACCCCCCCGCACCCCACCTCCTCCTAGAGCCAGCAGGCACCAAAACAAAGGCAGAGCGTGGGTGAAGCAGCGTCTCTGCCCCAAACTCACAAAGGAAAGTCTTTGTTTCCAAGAGGGACTTTCCTCTCTAAGTCGTGGGGTGTATCTGCAATTAAGCAGATTAAGGGAGACACTAGGAAACATTTTTTGTTTTAATGAAGCTAATCAAGCTGATTAATCTCGAGCATCAAAGCTTGCCCTGCCCCCTCCCAGAACAGGTTAGACAAACATCTGTCAGGAACAGTTTAGGGCGCGTTGATCCCGCTTTGGAGCAGAGGTCACACTCGGTGACCTCGTGAGATCCCTCAAAGCCCTCGTTCCTTTGATTGTGGGCTTGCAGGGGGAGCAGCAGTGCTCAGTGTCTGCTCTGCTGAGGACTCGGCTTGAGGCACCTCTGTGAACCAGCTCCGCGCGCCTTTCCCCTACCCTCGGTCACCCCCCCCCGCTTTCTACAGCAGTTCTCATGCAAGAAGCTGTAAAAGACAACAAATCCCCCCCGGTTCCTGGTCTGGGTGACTGTCCCGTGACTCCCAGCACTGAGAAATTCCACGTGTTTTGGCAGGAGACACCAGGATTGTGCCTCAAGGACGTGGGCTGCGCGCAGCAAGGGCTTTTCTGCTCCCTTCTTGCCACCATTTTAGGATTAAGCAACAGCAACCTGTTAGGTTTTGCAAAGTCCCCCCCATGTGAAGGGAAACGTAGCCCTCCTTCACTTGGCGGTGGCTTTCTTTCCACACACAAAGTGCCTGAGAACACATTTGCCTCTGGCCTCGGGTCTAATTTGCTTTTTGAACGTTTGTGACATGAGCTGAGACGGGGGGAGGTGAACCAGGCTATTGACAGGCTGTGGAGATGCTGACACAGCACAAAGCCGAGATGCACAAGCGTGCTCTGAGCCAGATGGCTTAGGAAGGGAAGGCAGGAGCTGCCACAGCACAGAGCTCCCTGTGGGCTTGGTTCCCTTCCATTGAAGAACCTGTTCTGAGCAAGCTCCTATCACCATCGTTATCGGGATAGTAGAACCTTGTAGTAGTGATCTCAGGAAAGAACTGGTTTGTTTCCTTTTTAAAAGAGAAACTGCTCAACACACTGAGTGTGTGAACGAGTTTTCATTGAATCCCAGCCTGGTTTGGGTTGAAGGGACCTTAAAGCTCCTCCAGCTCCAACCCCTGCCCCGGGCAGGGACACCTTCCACTAGAGCAGGTTGCTCCAAGCCCCTGTGTCCAACCTGGCCTTTGTTGTTCCCCCCTTCCCTTTCTGTGGGTTGATTGATCTAAATCAAAACGTTTTGCAGAAATCTATCAATTAAATCCCATTTTCATGGAGAATACCCTTGGAGAGAGCTTTGTTGGGATTCCATCAAAGCTCTTGGTTCTGACTTCTCTGTTCTGGTGATGTTAGAGGGGCAGATGCGCTTCAGCCCTGCCAAAAAGCCACGCTTTGACCTTATCGAAGCGCTGGGTTTGGGGAGGCTGTGCTGACACTTGCAAAGCAACCAGCACAAAAAGACCCCGATCATCTGTCTTATTTACAGTTGTGATTCGGGAGAAACGTGGACAAGTTTTTGGTCTTTGTGCTTTTCAGGAGGCGGACTTACAAACCCGGGACATTTCCTGTTGAAATCAAAGTCCTTGTTTGCCTCCGTGACACCATTACCATCGATACCTGCCCCCAAATGTTCCTTCAGAACTTCCACACTTGGACACCTCACCCTTCCCTGAGCCCAGACATTTCCAGTCTTCCCAGCCTCCCATCTCACCTCTGATTTTTCTTGCCTTTCAGGAGCCAGGAGAAGAAATCTTTGGCTTCCTGCGTGCCCAGGTCCGCTCTTTGGCCGCTCGCGGCTGATCCTTGGGGCTCAGCTTCCCTCTTGTACGGCTCGATCCCGTTGCTGGAGAGGCGAAACGGGAGGAGATCAACCCGAGATGCCACAAGAGGGGGCCCAAATGCTGCTTTTCCACGACTCGCAGCTCCCTCCCGCTCCATCTCCCAGCGGCGGGCTTGGGCGGGGAGAGGGGCGGTTGTGCTGGGTGCCGAGAGAGCAGAACCATCTCTAGGACTTAGAAAAATGAAAGCAAAAAGAAAACCGACTCCCTAGAGACCCATTGCTGCAGCCTAACAAGTGTATCGGCGGGGCTGACGTCTTCTCGGCGGCGCGCGGCAGTCGGCTGAAGACGGCTGCGAGTTTGGATCGTAGGAGCACGGAAAGTCTATGCACTTACTCGCTTTTCTTCTCCCGCCTGGCCAGCAACCACTCCACAAAGTTCTTCTTCAGCATGTTGTCCATCGTGCGGCTGTAGTCACTTGCCAGGGTGGCCTCGGAGTAGCGTCTTTGCAGCGCTCTAGTGCTGGGAATCCCTACGCTCACCCTGGGGTGAGAGCACAGAGGCAGAGTGAGTCCAGCACCGAGCGGGAGTACGCGCTACGCGGGTCCCTCCAGTGAGCCAGGCTTTGTGATCACTGTGCATCCCTCTTGGCACAGGGACTATTCCTGCCCTGGGAAGGGGCTAGACTGCTCCTCACCCATTCTGCTGGCTGCTCATGCAGTGGCAGCTCAGGTTTGGCAAGGTGGGAGGAGATGAACTCCAGGAATTTGCTGATCACCTGGAGTCAGTGTGGTTTGCTCTGCTGCACCTTGATTCCCATGGAATTTGGCTCCGAGCTCAGGCACCAAGTGGGCTCAGGCTCCTTCCTTCAGGGAGCTGCACACTGAGGACCAAGGAAGCCTGTTTCCATGTCCTCAGGAGGTTCAGGGGTGGATGGCAGGAGGCAAGAGCTGGCCTTGAGACCAGCACAGACCCGGCAAGTGTTGACATAGTTGGTGGCTACCTAAGTTTAGGACTACTAAGTGGGATTGCAGCAACTCCTGCTGCTCCAATAGGGATTCTTTTGGATCACCTGGGGTGGTAGTTGGAAATGACATAGCAGGAGTCAGGGGAAGTCTCTGTGATATATCCACTTTATGCAACTGCTCATATTTTCAGAAGCTGCCAAACACTGGCTGCCCTTAGCCTCGCTCATGTGAGATGATTACATCTTGTTTCTGGTTCCCAACCAGCCTTCGTCTCTTTCTGGTTGACTTCCAGCTTGTTCCTCCTAACCTAGAGCCATGAAATTTGTAGGGAAATCCTGGCTCTGGCTCAAAGGCTCAGGGCTTTATTTTGTTAACTCTTCTATCGTTTGCCTATCTCTGTATGCTTGGCTGTCTCTATTATCTGACGTCTACCTCAGGACTCATGTTCTCACCTACTTACCAAGATGCCAATGGAAAGAGTCCATTTGCCTCCAGTGAGCAGCTGGAAAAGGCTCAAACACACCGTGAGCTTTCCAAAACACTTACCCGGAGACGGTCTCTTCCATCAAAACAAAGCCCAGCGAAGCGAGGAGCAGAGAGAGAACTTTGAAAGACATCATTTTCTCAGCTGGTTTCTCTGTTCAAAAGCAGAAGGGACACAGGGGACAAGTGACAGGATGCTGAAGCCAGAGGGATGGGTGGTGGCTGGGCACGTGCCTGTGCTTGTAAATGTGCTTCCTCAGCCCTTGTGCTCCGAGCAGCCTTCTCCATCCTACAAAGCCCTCTTCTGCCGTTCCCCGTTAAATTACCTTTTCAATGCCAATGCTCTTTCCCACCGTGGTGTCTTTTAATGTTGGTCCCCTATACTTTTCTTGTAACCATCAAATTCATTGTGGGTTGCACATTCCTGGAGTCAAGGGCTTTGTCTTCCCCCATGTTTACAAGCTGACCCTGTGGGTACCTCATTGTGCTTTAAGGGTCGATTCAGTCTCGAGTATGTGAACGGGAACGTATATTGGATCAGGCAATTCAGCAGCCATGGCATCCTGCTTATCCCACACTGTGGTTCTGCCGGATTTAGGAGCCTGATCTAATTCCTAGGAGAGTTTCTGCTGGGATGGATAATGCTTTATGTAGGGACTGGAGCCAGAGTCAGTGAGTATCGGTTATGAAAAATATCCCATGGACAGTGACAGGATTGGATTCCAAGATTTATTAGTTTCAAGCTGTTCCTAGTCCTTACATCCACACTTGAGCTCCACAGCCCTCGGACATTTGAGCTCTTTTAATTACTATTCCAGCTCTGCAAACTCCATACAAAAATGGTTTTGATCTTGGCTCACAGACATGTTTTGTTGTTCCTCACCTCACTCTTTGTTACAGCTCTTTCTGGAAGCAGCATTGCAATGGAGAGCTGCTGCTAACAGGAATAATACAGTAACAAACAGAGAAGGTCTCTACCAGGACTCAAGTATCCATCCTTCAAAAAGTTATTCATATGTTGGTAGAACTTTATTCCTCCAAGTTGTCATTTATACTCTTAAACCAGCCCAATTCTGGTTTTGCACAGAGAGAATGTGCAAGTCGGGATATTGTTTGGAATCGTGGAATTCTTTTCTTCCTGGGAAATGGGGGCATCTTTTACTAGTGTTTTCAGCCCTTCCTATTATTAGAGAGAAAACCCATCCCTGTGCTCCATTCTCTCAGCTACAGCAAGTTCTCAGGAATGCTCTGAAAAGCAAAGATGTAAGATTCTGAGCACTGGCAAAGTCTCTAAAATACTTAGAGCTGAAGCCATAAAAGCCAAATCATTACAGAGTGTGTTAACAGAAGAGGTAAGTCCCAATAGACAAAAAGCTGAGAATGGGGAAAAAGGTGATCATTAAATAACTGAGGTTTTCCCCTCTTATTTGCTGTTTATTTCTTCTCTTGGTGATGGAGCTGTGAGTAAAATGATGCATCTAAAATTAGGGAAGTTGTGCAAGAATATTGTTATGCTGGAGGGTGATTATTGGTGATGCTGGGAGAGGAAATGCATCGGAGCCCTAATGCTGAGGAAGGGCAGTACTCCTCTTCACAGAATTTACCCAAAACAGGGAGGAAAAGCAGCCTGCACTTCCAGGGAACATTGACAAACCATTTGGGGATTTTGGAGCATGGAGTTTGCTGCGATATTTATGCTGCTTTGATCCTATAATTTGACTTCTTCACAAAGGGAGGAGCAACTGGTGGGATCTTTACAACACAAAGGTCTTCCTGTCCCCTGTGCAATCCTGGCTGCATGGGAAGAAGCATTGTCCCTGTTTATCCATAGGTCCCAAACAGCAACTAAGAACCAATTTCTCCTTATTTCCCTGTGTAGGTGCAGATCCCAACCTGCTCTTTGCCGTGGACCCACTATTGCTCTGAAATAACAGCATTTCCCTTTCCAACCCAGCACATCCATTGCTGCAGAACCAAAGGTATGGGCTGCTCCTGCTCTGCTACCGCCTGACCCACTCAAACACTGTCCACTCCCAAGCTGTCTTAGGCAAAAAGGCACATTAAAAAGAGAGACTAACACAGAGCTTCTTACCTGTCTCTGTCTCTGAAGCTGCCCAGAGGATTTCAGCTGGTTCTGGTGCCGGGGAGACCCTTCAGAGCTTTTATATACGTTCGTTGTGCAGGACCAAACCCACTTGCATGAGGTAAACAGGAAATCAAGAACCTAATCAATGTAATTCAAACCCATTTAGAGCTGCTTCATTAAGTCTATTGACCTACAGAGCAGGAAAATACCCTTTTAAAATATGTTGACATTAATGGCAATTAAACATTACTATATCGCAAAATCAAGAGCAAATATGGATTGGGTGTAATACACGTGGCATTGGTCTAAACCTTAATTCCATATAGCATCCCCTTTCCATGCTGAAACTTCCTCAACTTCTACTTTTTCCTTTGCCAGTGTAAGTGCTATCTTAGAGAGATCCAACCTGCTCCTCCTTTTCCTTACAGGAGGAATAACTTTGCTAAAATCGATAGCTCCCATCGTGGGTATTTTTGTCACCATTGAGTCTGAGCATCATTACTGTAGTTTGCAACACCCCCCAGACACTAAAACCAGCATCTGTCCCCCAAAACGTGTGCTCCAAGGGGAGAAAACTGGGGATGGAGAGTGGCAGATAGGACACCAGTAGGAAAGAGGGAGGCGCAGCAGCAGCCTGTGTGGGGTGAAGGGGAGCAGCTGGACCTGAGCACCCATTTGGGCTGCTTCTGTCCTGAGTGAGTGATGGAGTGTTTCCCTGCGGCTCTGCAGCTGCTGGGGACATGGGTCAGCGAGGCCACCACCTCACCCTGCCCTTGCACAGCTGGATCCAGGAGAGCAGATGTTCTGCAGATGTTAATTGTGCCATCAAAGTACAAGGGGTAAATCCAGTTCCATCAGCTCTGCTGTGACTATCTGCATGGTAAGATACTCTCCTCGGCGCCTGCCCTGCTTCCCCTGGGTCTCTCTGTGACAACTGGTTCCATTTGAACAGGGAAATCCTGTTCAGGGACTGCTGCTGGGTTTAGGATTCCCACCATTCCCATCATTCCCAGCTTCAACCTGCTGAAGGAGCAGAGCAAGATGATGTTGGTGCCTGCCTGACCCCCAAGCCGAGCTCTGCTCTCACCACGGCTGGAGCCCAGCAGTGCCCGTGGCTGCGAGGGCAGAGCTCGCTCCCATCCTTGCTCACTTCCCTGGAGCATTATCCAAGTTACAACCTTCCCCTCGGGTCTGGTGTATTCCCTTCCCATGGAGTTGAGCAGAGCTCCTCGGAGCAGGAACCCCACACACCTGGTTGCAGGAGGGATGTGTGTGTGTGTGTATCCTCCCAGGTTTGTGCTGGCTCAGCTACACCGGGGATTTGTGTGGGTAAGAGTGGGATTTCTGGATGACAGGGCTGAGCAAGGAGCAGCCCTTGATGGAATTGCAGTAATAATGGCAAAACTGAGGTGCTGGTGGTTTCGGCGTGGGAGAGGGTTTCGCTGTGCTGGCGCAGTGCCCTGGTGGATCTTGTCCCGAACACGTGCAGGAATCCAGCGCGATGAGCTGTGAGTCTCCACGTAAAGACTCCCCATTTGGCACTTCCTTCCTACAAGTGGTGGGGTTTTTCTGCTCTTCTGAGTAGTTCTGCAGGGACAGTGTCAGATAGGGGCTCCTTTCAACCACTACCTGTGTTCCTGCACCAGGAGCCTGCAGAGCACAGAATGAGCCACATCCAGCCCACCGTGCCATGGGCAGTGATGAGCTCTTGCTGCCCTGTGGCTATACAACCAGCAAACAGTGCTGCATCTATATTGCACTAAAGTATAGGCTCAGAAGGACATTATTAGTGTAGATTAAGAGTTTGGTGCTATTAGGGAGTAATTACTGCTTCCACAGGAACTATTTAACACGTGGCTTAGTCCTTTAGCTAGCAGCACATGAGCATGCCAGGGTCTCCAAAAGCTTTTCCCCCATGCAGGAACGCTGTGCCTCCTGTAATAAATGATGCACTACAATAGTTACAAGGAACCAATTTACACTCCTAGCACAGTTGCTAATCAATAAAATGGAATAGTTTATCCCCATGTCTTTATTATATGTATTCTGGGTACTTTGCTCCCAGCCAACTCAGATATCTTGTTTCTCCAAAGTGCAACCTATTTGTTTTCCTCTCATTAAGTGCCTCTGAAGGATATAAAGTTAATAGAGTGAAATAAATATCCAGCAACATTAAATGTTGACCCAGGGTTCACAGTTACGGTTATTTCAGGGCATCTGCTGATGGTGTGGTTTGGACCCCAGCATCACTCTCAGATTTCAAACAAAACCCCCCAGATATGCAGAAGTTCTTCCCAGAGGCAGGTGGACACTGTCTGTATTTCATCCCATCAGTGTGATGTCCACTGACCAGTGCCAGAATGCTGGATCTCTGCGTGCCAAGTTGGGTCTGGGAAGTGACGGGTGAGATGCTGACCTGGAGAAGGGCCCCATGCCCACATCTGCTTCCTCCAGGATAATGGGAGATGTAATGAATGGTGCAAACCTTGCTCTCCTCCAGCCTCAGCCCATCACAGCTGCGGCAGCAGCACCCTCACAGCGTTATCTGTGCTCTGCCGCCTTCTCTGATCACACAAGTCACTTCACAAGCTTCAGCTGGGTCCCAGCTGGGGATGGAGGAGGCTTTAGCTTAGGTTTCACCAGCCTTTGGCTCCCTCCAAGTTAAACAGGGGAGCTGGGGCTGCCCTGCTTCATCCTACCCTGCCTGAGCGAGCTCTGCTCTTCTCCCCAGCAGACCTGCCTCGAGGAGCTGGTGTTTCAGGAATTCGGGAATGTGTTGGGAAGCTCACAGCTGTGTTGCTGAAACGGTCCTTCTGCTCTGCTTTGAGACACCGAAACATCTCAAGGGCAACTCTGATTACCAAGCATTTCGAGTATTAGATGTCCCCGTAATCATGGTAAATAGGGCTTGAAGTGACCTTAAGAGGTCATCCCTTCCTTCCCCTGCTCCCAGACAGCCTTGGCTCTGCTGAAGTCACTCTGAAAGGACGAGTCTGATCCATTCCCAAAAGCTTTTGGAAATGAAAACACTTCAAACTTCCCAAGGCA